AGAAAGAATCTAGACTAGAGTATGCACCAGTTGTACTGAATCCATTTAATAACATCTATAGTCATGCTATTGAAAATTTATAAAGAACATTTATGAAGCTTTACATACGCCGGGTAATGTAAGTTTTATTATTATAGGATATTTTACATAAAGGGCTAGATTGCATTGAGCTTTATGATTACATTAGCATTAAAGTACCTCACCCTGGCCTCAGAATATACTTAAGCTTTCATTTGCCAGCTGCTTATACAAACATTTTGAACAGTGCTCCAATTTTTCAAATTAAAGACAGGATATTTTTTATAGCTATTGCTATATAAACATAAAATGTATTTATTATGATGAGTTCTGCTGTTAAAGTTAATAAATAGGTACAGGGTTTTTCATTATATTTTGACCACTACTTATTTCCATTATTCTTGTGAACACAAAAGTTTCAAGTAAAAGCTTTGTTCTTTTACCTCAACTTTTTCGTCCACAGTATAACACATTACAAACAATCAACTGACAACTTTTAATAAACAACTATTTCACTTGGAAACATAATTTTCATAGCTATCTATGTGTTATGCTTTCATAGTGCAATAAGTCAATAAATAATTAAAATTTTATATATTTGTAACAAAAATATATACAGTATGGTTCAAATGAAAGGAATAAATTCATTATAATGGAAGTAGTTGGTTTTTCGAAAAAATGCTCAAACAGGTCAATTTTGTTTACTCAAAGCGCAATTTTTTAAGTAGAATTCAATTTTCCCCCACTTCCCATTTTTGGGTAGTGACGTCATTGACAATTTTTTTAAATAGTAACCCCAATTTTTTTTTCTTGATTTTGTTAGATCTTGCAATTTCCTACTCGGAAACATAATATTTGAAATATCTTACATAACAATTTTTTTTGAATAAAAGTAATTTAAAGATCAGACACATAAATTTTATTTTATTTTGAGAACACAATAAATGAATAAAAGATAATTATTTGTAATTAAGTGCTTAATTAAACAAAATAATAATATTATTATTAATATTAATAATAAAAAAGAATTTGTGAAATTGTCATTAAATTCTTTTTATTATTATTTTTATTAGTATTTTAGATGAAGCACTTAATTACAAATAATCTTTTATTTATTATTTTATTGTGTTTCAAAATAAAATAAAATTTATGTATCTGATCTTTAAATGACTTTTATTCAAAAAAAATTATTATGTCAGATATTTCAAATATTATGTTTCCGAGTAGAAAATTGCAAGATCTATTAAAATCAAGAAAAAAAAATTGGGGTTACTATTTAAAAAAAGTGTCAATGACGTCACTGCCCAAAAATGGGAGGTGGGGGAAAATTGAATTCTATTTAAAAAATTGCGCTTTGAGTAAACAAAATTGACCTGTCTGAGCATTTTTTCGAAAAACCAACTACTTCCATTATAATGAATTTATTCCTTTCATTTGAACCATACTGTATAGTGTCCCATTAAAAAAATGAAACTATATTTTGTTGTAGTCGCCCTGTATATACAATTTTGCCAGTTGTAACATTGTTAGTCGGTACAGGTAAAACAACGAAGTTTTTACTTAAAACTTTTTTTGTGTTCGCAATAATAATGAAAATAAGCAGCACTCAAAATATAATGAAAAACCCTGTACGTCTTTTACGAATGGTTACCTACTGAATTTTATACTATATTTTGTATATGTATATAGTATATATTGAATATAATAGTAGTATGTAAGTTTTATGTGATATTTTTAATGGTTATTTAACGAACAAGTGTATTAATAAGGGCGATTAACAATCTTGGTTATATATCTATGTTAACAATCGAGATAAGCGCGTTAATGTTCGAGATTGTTAATCGCCATTTTAATTCACGAGTTCGTTACAGAACTTTTTTGTTGACAGTATTTTTCAAAAATAAAGATATCTTACTTTTAAGAAATTAAATAATGACATACAATGACAGATAGTATTAACACACCTTCTTGATTTCAAATGTATATGTATGTTTGGTTGCTTACACCATAGGTAACTGTCAATATAAATGTATAATAATAGCAATGTACGTTGGGTTGCATGTAATAAAATCGTTGATTAATAGAAAATCATTCATTAATAGGAGTAATTAATCAACGATTTTGAGTGCGTTAAAATACATCATAAATGGTCGGTCGACGGAAATAGTATGTTACGTAACAAAAATGCTGCTTCTGAGCTTCCAATGTGGGTTAATATTAGGCGTTTTAATTTTCCTGATGGCTCTCTTAGACCACAAGAAACTCCCTTCATAAACACCTGTTTCTTATTTTGTATGGTAGTATTTTGTTTACGACACAGTGTGTCCAGCTCTAAATAATATGTTTTTATTTTGAATTATCGAGTCTAATTTTTTTTTTAATGATGACGTCTCCAAGCTATTATTTCTTCTTTTTCTATTAGGTGTCTATCTCTCTTTCCAGTGAACAAGAGTTCCAAAATTATTACAGAAACATAAAACTCGCTGGAGACGCTATGTACCTTCCCGAGGAACACATTTTCAAGGGGACGACAATATTATTTTGTAGGTACATTCAATAAAACACTTTAAAATTAATTATTCTTATTACTTCTGATTCATACCTCGTATTTTTTAGTAAAATGGGTAAGACCCAGTAAGTCGATAAAAAAATATATACAAAAAAATGCGAAATTTCTATAAGAAATTAAATTCTATTTTATGGCGGAAGCACTAGTTTTATAGTAAATATAAAATTTTCTACATGATGAGAAATGTTTAAGAACGATTTCTAAACATGTTTAATATAAATTTAAGGAAGAGACTTTGGGAAATGGAAAAATGCATAACCTATTCCTAAAAAGGCTCATATTTACACCATCGAAAAGAAACATTTTAAAGAAAGATTTTAAAGATAGAGTTCAAGGTAAAATGAAAAAATAAACAAGTGAAAAATAAATGATATTTTTTAAGGTTATCGCATTTCATTTCATCACTTTAAAACTTAATTTCATTAATTTATAGGTAGATATTTCGCGATACACTGCCAGTATAACACGACACAATCGAATATCCTCAAATTCTAGTAATTTACGACAGTGATGAAGCTATTTCCGTTTCTATATTATCATTAATTGGAATCACAATATCACGTATTGACATTTGATGGACAAATGCCTGACTACAGGGCACATAGTGGTCAATTAGTTCTGTACAACATAATTTCTTTTCCATTATAGAAGAGCGGTTAATTATTGTCACTAATATGCAATCAAACGAGTGGTCAATTTGTATTTGTATTCAAGCCACATATTTACTGTTGCCACTCGGACCATAAAAAATTGCTTCTTCTAAATAAATATATGTCGTCTTGTTTATTTAAATAAGAAAAATAAGAAAAATAAGAAATGCTTCTATGAAAATAAAATATATTAAGTAATTAAAAATATCTCTATGCAGGCTGTCCCAAAATTTCTGGGAGACAGAGCTAGCACGTATCGTAGAGGTCAAAATAAGGCGATTGGACCCAATTTATGGGTGACAGTTTGAAAACAAAGAGCATTTAACATTTCTTTATCTCATGACACTATGAAAATTTGGCGAAATACGTTAATTTACTTATCAAGGTGGACAACTGTTGAAGTATTTGTTATTGTATCACACCCACTCACTTTCAGGGTGCCTACCCCTAAAAGTTTAAATAGCAACCCCCACTTATTTCGCCATTTTTTAAATTCCTGTGTAGTTCTGGATAAGTTACATCTATTTCTGTATTTTTTCTCAAAAGCGACATATTTAACCTTATTAATGTATATAATTTATTAAATTAAAATAATATTTTAATGGCTACCTCCTAAAGAAAGTATAATTACGAAGAATAGTGAACTTCTTAACCTAACCTAATTACTTTATGAATTGTTCAAAATGTTTCTCACTGCCCATTTTATGCTCAGTATATATTTCACATTCTAAGCCTTGTTTTATTTTAGATCCGTCGGTGTAGATATGAATCGTACCTGCCACTTCCGAGTCTTCTATTTGTTCTATTATAACCTTCTATGGCTTATGGTTTGCGGACCTTTTAGAACGTTTCTGCGTGAAATAGTCCTACAATATTGTATAATCCTTTGTTAAAGGTATTCTGTTGAGTCTGGTTGGGTTTTTAATACAATGAATTTCATGTGATCCCATGGAAATAAATCGGGAGGTGTCATATCTGGTGACCCAGTTGGACATTTAATAGGTCTTCTCCTACCAATCCACTCCTAAGAATATTGTTTATCCAACCACTCTCTTAATAAGGAGGTGTTCCGACCAGCTGGAAGTGCATCAAATATTCATCTAAAGAAAGATTCTATTCTATTCTGTGTAATATTTCCACATACATTTCATCATTTAAATTTTCATTAATAAATAAATGATAGTACCGTTGTATTGGGATAGGACACTACTGTTTTATCTGCTAAAATTTTTAAATACCGATTTATTTTCTTTGCTTAATGGTGGAATTCAGTTTCCTTTTCTTGCGTCTATGTTTAAGATGAATCTCACAACTACTTTCCTCAAAGTGGATAGGGCAACTTCAATTAAGTTTGTCCTTTCTTCGATAAGAATTTACCCATATTTTGTGGCATTCGGAAATATCTCCACCGCGCAGCCCGGCATTTTAAACATTAATTTAGTTCTTCCCTGTTATATATAGGAAAATATAGTCACTACTAACAGAAAAACGAATAAATTATTAAATATTTTACACTATTCATTCGAAAAGTGTCAAAATAACTTGAAAGTTCGTCTCGCATTACGTCATGCGAAAGTCATGAATCGAAAGTCAGCATACCTTTAATATGTGTATCGTGGCTAGGAGTAGAAGAAGTGGCTCAAAATGATGCTGATACTATTTGGCTCTGAGGTCCAGAATAAATTAAAATAATGAACTCTTTACAATAGCTTTACCTTTAATGTAAATACTTTGTATTTTTATATTTGTTTAGTTTTATTCATGTAATTAGGCCTAAAGGATTGTTTTAATAAGAAAATAAATAAATAATAGGTAGTAAGAATTTTTTGTTTTACGAGTAATATTTACAATTTACAAAAATGTAAGAACATGTAACTAATCATTGATAGAAGAAATATTATAATTTTATCTTAAACTTGATGTTTTCCGGTATAAGGAAAATCTTTTTTCGAATCTCCGTCTAATTTCTGTCGTCTAAGAAATTCGCAGTCGTCTATTCCAAATCTGTACATGAACAATCCGAGAGGAGTCGTTGCTAAATGCCATAACGAGTGATAGTCGAGTACATAAAAATATGGAGGTCTGTCAAATAATTCCAGTGCCAAAGCAGTACCGGATATCGTAACGTATACTGCGCATTTCCACACATACTTCTGGCGGTTTCTGTTGTAAAAACACCAAATATACCAAGATAATCCAGAAATAGTTCCAATAGCAACGTTAAGTTTTATATTATAATCATAATCTATTGGTCTTTTACTTAAATAAGCAACATGTTTCGTTAAAAACATTATAAACGCTACTGTAATCACGATTAATGCATATTTTGAAACTTTGTTGTGCAACAGTCTGATGCTTACGAGATACAAGTTCATTAGAAGCAAAGAAAATGAACAAGCGTAATCTAAAAACTCGGTAAACACAAAATCTCTGTAATGAAAAATTGCTGACCATAACCAAGCGTGAAGGCAAACTACAAAAAATAAATGCCACAACCAAAACAAGGGACTACCTGGCTTCACTTTTGCTCTAAATTTTCTCATCATTTTAATATGAACAAAGGCGTTTAGTAAAGAAAATACAACTGAAGCTGGTTCTTGCATGCCTAATATCCTTATAAACGGCCATTTTCCATAAAATTGCGGCGTCTTTCGAAAACGTTCGTTAAATATTTTTACAGTTTTCCACATACACTCGTGTTTACATTCATGATTGCAGTACCATAGAGTCATCTTAAGTATGAATGGTTGTTTATCTTCCTTAAATCCTTTACCATCTTTTGTGCAGTTTGAGGATTTACAGCTTTCCACGCAACTCACATAGAATGGGTCATTATCTCCGGGCGAAGAATAAGTTAATGTAATAGACATCGATAATAATATTAAAAATAATATTAACATTTTTACATACATTAATTTTTCAAAAATTTGACGTGTCTACATCTGTATTAGGCATTCAAAACAAAATGACTGCCCGTTTAAAATGACAGGCCACTGGCAGGTCATAATATGGCAATATGGCAATTAGGCATTCCAACGACCTGTCCAAATGGCTACCAGTGGGTAATGACAGTTTAGATATGGCAACCCTGTTGTCATGCTGTCATTAACAGGGTCAATGATACATGGGTCATTCTCAGTTGAGACGTAAATCGCTTATTGATAAAACGCGGCACGACAAAAATTTTGAAATTGAAATCAAATTTTACAATGGTTCGATCAAAACAATCATTTCAAACGTGCCTGCAAGACGGTCAGTCAATTTATTGATTTTATCTCGTTTTATAAGATGCCAGGGGAGATACTCATCCAGGGGAGAGACTTAATGTACAGAGTAGAATACTTTGTGATTAGAGAAAGGATTTTAACATTATTTTATGAAAGAAAACAACATTTTATTGAAGTATTAACTTTATTCAGTCATTTTATAATTTTATTTATCAATAATTAATTGATAATAATTAGTATTTAAAGTTTTCATATCTCCCCTGGATATTGTGTCTTTCCCCTGGCCCTTACAAGACAGGGGAGATATAAACAGGGGAGATACTTTTTAGTAACAAAAATAGAAATAATGACAAATGTATTTATTGTATGAAATTAACCAAGAAAAGTTAGAATCTATTAACAACGAGAAGTAAATATACGAATGAATTAAATTTTTTAGATGAATATTTTAAAAATAAAACTTGCCAGGGGAGAGACTCCGTTCACTCGTTGTCAACTGTATGCACAGACTGCCAGTAACGAAATAAATGACTAAATGACTGCGCCCCTAGTTCGAGTGGCTCTGATTACAAACTATACACTCAACAACGTTCGCTCAAGGTCTTCAATTCTCGCAAGTCAGTAAACAAATGCCGATTTTACACAAAAATAAGCGTGCCAGGGGACGAGACGCAAAATACGGGGGACAAACGTAAACGTAATTTTTTTTTAAGAAAAAAAAATATCACGCAATTTTACTTGCTTGATTACGATAATTTATTTAAATTATTTTGTTGAAATGTATAATTTAAATAAGTTATTTGATTTTCAAGTACTTAAAATTACAAATAAATAAACAGAATCGGCCCGGGGACAAGCCAGGGGAGAGATGTTTTCCGACTTTGAGGTGAAATTGTGACTAAATTAAATAAAATTAAGAAATGAATTTGAGTGACCAATTATATGAGCACGAGTTTTAAGAGAAAATAATATTCTTTTTAATAAAAATTTTTAAAAAAGGTGATTTTTTGTTATGGACGTCGAATTTACGGCTTAACTGAGAATGACCCACATATATAGTTATATAGATTGCTCAAAGCTGGTCGTTTACGAGCGGCCATATTGCCTGGCAAATATTTATTAATTTGAATCGGTTTAGCAAAAATGTGTTTTAAAACCAATTTTTAGCCTTTACATATTTAAAAAAAATAATTGCTTACATTTTTAGTTCAAGGCATAAGCTTATGTTTATTTTGAAAAATATGGAAGATCAATCTATTTTCCACCTGACAAAAAAAAAGATTGATAATCCATGCTTTTAAAAATAAACATAAGAGCCTTAAAGTAAAAATGTAGAAAATAATAGCATTTTAAGAGTCCGCTGTATATTGCTGAACACTTTTCGCGTATAACAGTGTAATTTCGATTAACATTTTATTCTTTTGTTTAAGGACCTGCATTTCCACATATTCATACTATATAGCGTTTTCCACTCTCAAAAATTTGCTTAAATTGATCTGGGTATAACGAGTAAAATGCACCTTCCCAAAGTTCTCTTGTTTTTCGCATTCATTGCCAAATCGTTCTCTAATTACTGTATTATACCAATTAATTAAGTTGGTTATTAAAAGATGGTGAAATAACTTTAAAATTCTTGTCATAGAAAAATGCATACAATAGAATAATTTCTATTAATAATAATTAACAATATTTTTTATGGAACAGTTGTTTATCATTTGCAATACAATCTTTGTATATCGTCAGTCTAGCAAATCTATTTTTAAGCTTTATTTATGCGATTATAATGAATGCAAATTGTGTCATGATTTTTGCATTATTAATTAAATACATGTTTAACATTTTTATTCCCAGGTTATAATTTCCTAAGCCGCCTTCCTCATACATATTTTATAATGTAGATTTGCTCCAATTTGCAAATAAATGTGGTACAGTTTGTAAATTTTGCGTATTTTTTTCTAGTCTAGTTGGTCAGTCAAAGATTACAGAATGTACAGGGACAGGATGTATCCTAATTAGGGAATTGGATTAAACTCCATTATTTTATAATGTAAGTCTGTGTACTGGATTAAAAACAGTTTTTGGTTGCTTTTAAAACAGATTCGGGTTATTTTAAGAAAACAAAAATAATGCGGAATATTTTCTATTAAGTCAAGAGAGTAGATATATATTTTATGGTATCAAATAAATAAGCACAACTGGATTATAAACAGGTGAGTAATTATATAAATTAATTATTATTTTATATAAATATGAATGATTTTATGTACTTTGAAAAGCAATTACAAATCGAAGATAAACTGAAGATTTAAAGGCTTGAAGAGCTTCTCTTTGGTACCCATGTAAAGTAATGAATTAAGTTTAGTAATTGCTGTAACAACCTACGGTAAGATGTAGTTTATTTCTAGAAATAAATAGTCAATAAATAATATTAATAAAATTAGATTAATTGGTACAATAAATTTTATAAAATCAAAGCAAATAGTATATGAACGTCACCAATCGGGTGAAAAGACAAATGCAAAAACAAATGATTAGGGTATAAGGTTAGTATTTAAATATTATTATTAGCTGTTTTTCCAGGTCTTCTGGCTGTTAACCATGAGTTGAGTCTCCAGTTATTTTAAACTCAAAGAAATGGACTGGTTGGATTTCTCCACTAGATTTATTTGGTGTTTTTAAGTATTTCGTTGTTTAGGAACCTCCAGGTTCCACCAGATATAGTAAAATCAAAAATTAAACTTCAGATTGAAATTTGAATGGAAATGAGATTGAAAATCAGCATAAGAGTGAAAGTGAAAGTCTGCATAAGAGGCCTAAAAATATATTGCCAAAATTAGGACGATAAAAAGTTTAATAATATTCTTTTTTTATAGGGGTTATTCCTTAAAAACTCACCTTGGATGATGGGTGGCCCCAAAGGGGCTTCAATTGAAGTAAGTTAATATAAAAAAAAAGGTGAAAAACTCTAAATATTCTGAACTTTTATCCACAATGATGAGATTATTGTTTAGTATTAACACAACATTTTTTAGTTCATTAAATATGAGGTTTTTCGAAGAAAATCTGCAAAATGCGGGCACGCTTCTTTCTCAGAAAATGTGCTTAATGCATAAAAAAGGCAAGAACCATTTTTTTTGCCACGAAGTTTTAGGAATAAATTGTTTTAGTTGGTATTCTGTTTTCTTCTTTTAATTGATTTAAGAGAAATTACTGTTTTAAGAATTAATGACAAATTAGAAATTAAAAGAAGAGAAAATTCTTAGAAAAGGTTATATTTGTTTGTTTACAATATTTGAATAATTTTAATTATTTTCTTTTATTTTAGAAATGAAATATATGGGGAACCAACCAGCCAAAAATTATTGGATTCTTCACGAAAAATAGCATATAAAATATATAGTTATACAAATATATTTTATTAAATAAAGTTCATTTGTTTTATTTTGACTCTTGAATCGCATTGAGGTATGGAATTAATTAAATTTAAATATTTATATGATTGAAAATATAGAATCATAAAAAAGGTAACTAATATAAATTTAAAATATATTGCTCAGTAAGGTACTTTTAGCCCGTAACATCTGACAGAGTTTAACTAATGTCAAACTGTCAAAACAAATGGACCAACCTTCATTTTTGAGGAAATTTTATATTATAGAAATTGGTATTTTTGATTTATTGACTAAGTTCTTATCAATAGAGTACTTTTTATTTAAGATTTTTCCAAAATTTTTGCCGTAAATACTGATAACATTTGAAAACAACAAATGCAAAAAATTTTCTTTTTCCAGTATAACTTCTTTACGTTTCTTGATATAAAAAGTTATTTTTTAAAAACAATTATTATTTGAATTTAAATACAATATGTGTTTTTATCTACAAGTCTACAATCATTCTAATGAAAATATTAATTATTAAATGAAACCTTAACTTTTGCCGAATCAGCACGTGTGACGTGCTGGCGATGTGGTCGATGTTTGATTCCATATATGGTGATGTTTATGGATGGTTTCTGATAACGTTCGTAGTTCCTATAACATAACTCCTCCATCCCCAAAAGGAACTCAAGGGTGTAACTGAGGTGGAACCACTTGAGTTGCGTCAATGGCAGAAGGCTTCTTCTTCTTCAGTTTTAGAAATTGCGTGATTAATTTTCTGTTCCTTAGTATTAAGTATATAAGGGTCAAGCTAAAGAGGGACGAGCTAATTCCTGTTGCCCATTTGAAGGTTGTGGTATAGTTGAGAAATTCTTGTATAGGCTCGATACTATCTTCATTAAGTTGTATTTTATGTAGTTCATCCAGATGAATTTTTTGGAGGTGTATTTTTTGTATGCTGATGGTCTAATTGTTACCCATTTAGGAAGTGACAGTGGATTTTTGTGTTTATATCGAAAAAAACAGGAGACTACCACGAGGACATGAATGCGGAATGCTTTAAAAAATGGTTTACTAAAGTATTACAGTTATTGTACTAGATAACGCTTTTTATCACAGTCGACGAGTTGAACGCATTCCGATAATGTCCAGTAGGAAAGCGGATATGCAAACCTGGCTGCGGGATAAAGCAATAACATTTACTGAGGAGATGCTTAAAGTGAAATTAATGGACCTAATAAAGTAACACCGTCATAAATATATTTAATGTGTTGTCGACACAATGGCTCATGATCGTGATATTACAGTATTAAGACTTCTAGTTTGATAGGGTGACCCTTTATGATGCT